TGATTAAGTAAGTAAGTACTTATAGTTAACTTGTAGTGATAAATTAATTAATTGCAACACTAATTAAATTAATTTAAACTGTAAATTATTTTTATTAACTATAATCATGGAAATAAGATTTTAAAGCAGAAAATTTTTAAAAAGTACTTCAAAATTAAATTGAATTTTATATAAGTGGCCCGACTATAGGTACCAAAGTATGGTTATTTAAAATATTTTGTTTTTCATTTGAAAATTTTTAATTTAAATGAAAAAACGAAAATTTTTATATAAATTTTTATTAATTGCTTTAACTTTTGCAAAAATAAAAGAAATTTGTATTATAAAGACAGTGAGTAAGTGTGTATGAATTCTAATGAAAAAATTCAATTAGTTATTCAAATAAAAAATAAAAAATTACGATCTAGTAATTACAGTAATTATAATTTAGTATTTCTGATTAATATTAAGTAATTACGATGTATAACAACTGAGTATTTAAGATTGTAACCTAGTAACTGAAGTAAAGTACATAAAAGTAATAATTACCTACCTACTCGACATAAAAATTTTTATTGAAACTTAAAAAATTTTTAATTTTACATTTTTTTTTTTTGAGTAACTATCACAAAATCCAACCATCTTTAATTCAAAATATTCTCGTTTTTTTGTTCATAAGCTAAAATATGGTTGTCATTAGAATGAAATACAAACATAAATACAAAGCCTCCGTCATTTTTTGGGTTTTTTTTTTTGTTCTTCTTGAAACCAACTTGAAATTAAAAACCAATGTGAATGTATTTAAAAAAAAAAACCCAACCAGCCAAGCAAAAAATAACAATAATCAAGCCATAAGTAATTTTTTATTCACATTTTTTTCCATTTCGCATTCTTTTATTGTATTTGTTTTTTTTTTTAATTCTAAAGGAAATGAAATCATCAATATTTTATTCTTAAATCATCAGTTTTCTTTATTTTCTTTTGTTTATTATATATATTTTAGGTATATGTTCACATTTTATTTCAAATGCCTGCCTTTTTGTTAATATTAATAAAAATATGTACAATAAAAATATTTTGTAGTATTGATATGGTTTAATATGAGTAACACAATCTCAAACAGGGTTAAATTAAAATCGATAATTTGTCATAACCATAAGTATTCAATTTATGCTGTCAACTAAAAATGAGGTAATTTCAAACTTCTAAAAGAATTTTTTTTTTGTTCAGTACATAAATGGAGTTGAATATTTTGTAGAAGAATTGAAAATAAATTTGACATAAAGAAATCAAAATACAATGCGAAAATCATGTACAAATCCAAATACTAAAGTCAAACTTATTTCATATTTTACACGTTTACACTTCAAATTGCACATTAACTTGCGTTAACACTGCCCTCGTTTTTTTTTACATTTTATTTAAATTTAGAAATGAAACCAGATTTATTACGTGATTAGTATATAAAAATAATAATAAAGTATTGTGATTATTAATATAAGAATTAGGAAAAAGCTATTTAAATCCGAAAATAAAAGTAAGAAATGAGGTTATGTTATTTTTCATAAATACTTTAACACTTTTATTTTACATTCAAAACTAAATTTTTTTACATATTATATGTAAGTACATCCGCATTGATATGTCATCATTGTAAATGTGAGAAATTAATTAATTAAGTATATATAGTTTAAAATTATTGGGATGAAATTTTAAAATTTTTTTACATAATTTCAAAAATCCATTTTATTGAATTGCTTCACTCATGAAAAGTAAAAACAGAAATTACCTTAGTAAAAATTCAGAATTCAGATTAACATGAATAATGATTGCTCAAGTTACTATTGTGAATCAAATTCCTGTTATATTATGAATTTCTCTTATATTGAGTAGGTAATTTTGGTGTCACGAAATTTTCAAACTAATTTATGTGTTTAAAAGGCATTTCCGTAACAAAAAAAAAATTAATTTAAAAATTAAAAAAATTATTAACTTCAATTTTTTTTTAAAAATAAAATTATTTTTGAGCAAAATTAAAAAAAAAATACCTACTAAAAATTTATAACTATAAAAAAAATGAAATAGATTCGAAGTTCAACAGACAAATATTTATTTTTCTTTTCTGTTTTTTATTTTGTTTTCTACTTTTCAATAGAAAATAATATAATTATACTATATATGAATGTTATGTATACTATGTAGATATTGTATGTACTATTGTATAAATCTAGGAAAGAAAACATTATAGGAGGATATAAAAAAATTTTCATGCAAAATAATTAATATACAACAATCATATAATATTATATTGTTAGTTTATACATAAATACATACATATGTATATATGTACAATATAAAAACTACACAAGGTACTGGCATGGCACATTCTTATTATTATAACACATATTCACTAAATAAATATACAATTTATAACAATAAGAAGAACGAACGAAAAAAAAAAACAACAGAGTATGATATTATGTATTATGTTCAACTTTGTATACATAACCTTAAAATTCGAACGTACTCACTATATATATAATAAATATGTACGTATGTATACACATTTGTACATTAGTACAGAAAATACACAATGAAAAAAAAAATAAAAAAAATAAAAACGAAAACCAGAAAATAAAAAAAAAAAAACTAAATACAAGAAAAAAAAAACAGAAACAAAAATTACCCGCAATGCGGCAAAATTGTATTCGTTAAGTAATCGGGTTCTTTCACGAAGATTCAACGAATCTCATCAGGCAGGTGACGAAGAATATGAAAAACAGAACAGAATTGAAAAACAAGAAACAACAACAAGAAAAAACGTCGTTTTAATACTTTTGTGAATCAGAATAGCGAAAAGAAGAAAAAAACACGAAACAACAAAAAAAAAAAAAAGTTGAAGACAGAACAGAAATAGCAAAAAACAAAAAGTAACAAAAAAAATATTCAAAGGTAATGTTACATATTTTTTTTTAAGCATACAATATATTGTGTACGTGTTTGTATGTACATATGTATGTTCGGCTGCATATAAAACACACCTTAACAGCCAGCAGCAGTAGCTTCAAAAATTTTAATGTTACATTGAATTTTTTTATATTAAAAATAAAAATAAGACAAATTATAATTACATTTACATATGTATGTGTTGTGATATGTGTATTGTGTTACTATGTTTTGTACCTTTAATGTTAACCTAACAAACAGAGACATCTTACGATGAATGACAACCAAAATAAAAAAAAAATAAAAAAATTATTTTTGAATGGTTTACAAAATATTTTCTTCTCCTATTTTATCAGAAAAATTAAATATTTAAATGATTAAAAATTAATTTGAGAGAAATTTATTGCCAACACACACACACACAACATTGTTATCGTGGAAACAAATTAAAAAAAAAAACGGGAATTTGAGATCTATATCGTGTGTGCTAAGAGTTTTTAATATTAAATTTAAAATTTTTCGTATTGTTATAACAAAAACTTCCAAATCTAATTGCTATTATATTTAAGATATTCTCATAACCTCATTTTATTTCGTTGTCAGAATATAAAATTTAAGTTCAATTTTAATTCAACAGTTCAACAATATTAAGATGAGACCATTATTTTTTTATATGTAAGCAATAATTATATTTCTTATTGGTATACACAAACCATCCTCTATGACTGTATTTACGTATTGTATATTTTTAATGTTATGATAGTAGTTTGATGAATGTAAAATAACAAAACCTTGTGAATTGGGAGAGAAATTAATATTGTAAAATTTAAATATTTCAAAAACAAATTAACTGTCCTCATTTTTTAAAAAAAAATTTTAACAGAAATTTTTTCATTTCATTTTAAATTTTGCGTTTTTCGTTTTTTTTTTTTTGGCGTAAAAGGAAAGAAGCCCCAAAAAAATATATGTTTTATATGTATGTATATTTTCTAGAAAGAGATGATGTGATATGCTAAATGAAGATACACCTATGAATACAGAATAATTAAGTGTATAAAATATGTATGCATGTTGGTAAATTTGTATATCATACAAATTTACATACATTCATACATATGTACAACATAGACCAGAATATACAAAAACATATTGCCTCGCTTTTTTTTCTGTTATTTTTTTTTGCCTTTTCGAGGTTATGTGTATAAAAAAAAAATTTTTTTTTAACTGTTTCAAGTAGAAAGTATCATCTTTGTTTTTTGTATTTTAATATCGTTGGTTCTTTTGTTACTTTTATCACATTAACTATTGCTTGTACAGTAATAAAGTTGGCAATAAAATTACTGTGAAAATTATGAGACGAATAAAGTATTTGTACAAAAATCTTATAATACAAATATATTATTGCAAATTAAAAGGTAGTACTTCTAGTACAACAAGTAGCTATCACTAGTACAATAAATAGCTACCACTATTACAATAAGTAAATTTCTACTTGTACAATAAGTAGCTGCGCGCTAATATATAACCCTACTAATTAGATAAAGTAAAATGTGTGAGTAATAAGAATTTTTATGTAACGATTTTAATAAAACAATTTCATACAAAATTACAAAGACATTTTTCAGATTTTAGTTAGAATTAAGGTATTGGTTACTAAGCATTACATAGATAATTTTAAATTTTATTTTAGATTTACTTTTGATATTGCAACAATACTACATCTTAACTATACCAATTAACTCAGTTCTCTCACACCAATTGCAACTATAAGTTTGACTGTGTATTAAATATCGTATTGCTGCTATTTTTAAGCTAGGAGCAGGCAATCTGGACCACATATGTCCTTGCGTTTCTATAATTCTATTATAAATCTTGAAATTGAGAGCGTGATATTCATTTTATGTCAATAAAATTAAAATTACAGGAATTTGATTAAAACCTGAAAATAAGGCAACGGAACAAGATGTATGAAAAAATAACAGCTTGTCCCACAATCCCCACCAAAAGAAAAATGTTCGCATTTTTATATTGTAATTAAAATAAAAAATATAAAAATATTTAAAAATAATATTTACCATTTTTTATCTAAAAATTTGTTGATTTGTTTTTGGTTTTTTAATTTAAAAATTTAAAGATTTTTTTAAATCCTTTTTTTTTCTAATATAAAATTTTTGTTGCTAATGTGTTGTTGTATTTCTGCTTCTTTTTGTTAACTGCTCTCCACCACCGAAATTTTTTTTTTATAAATTCTTTTTTTTTTCAAATTCAAAAAAAAATCAACTTCTCCACGAAGACACACTCTTAATCAATCAATTAAATCAGAAATTTGTGTTTTAAAAAACACAATTCTTAATTTTTTAAAATTATTTTCCTTTAAAAAAAAAAAATTGAAAAATTTAAAGAGAAAAAAAAATTTGAGATTAAAATTTTTTTTTATACAAATTTTATAAAAATTAAATTATAGAATGAGAAAAAAAAATTTTTAATTTCTTAAACTACTGGGTATGACAACAAATTACTCGACAACTTAATCACTAAAATTTTTTTTTGTTTGTTATACAAATCTGAATTTAATAAGAAGGTATAAAAATGAGAATTGAATAGGCAAAAAAATTTGAACTGTAATACATACATATATAAATATGAATTTATGTTATTCATATATATAAAATTATATTATACTGTTATACATATATAAATTTAAAATATATATCATGTAAAAATCTTGTACAGGTTTTATTTCTAAATATTTTAGATTTTAAATGGAAATTTAAGGATTTTTTCTCTTTTTCTATTAAAAATGACAAACAATCACACTTGTTTTTATAAAAATGTTTGTTTCTTTTTTTTTAATTAAACTTTTGTTTTAATAATCAAATTTGTTTAATTATTTTGCGATTAAAAGTAGGATTTTAGTAAGTTTTTCTTAATTCTTTTTTTTAAACGGAATATTTTTTTACTTTAACTGTTATACATTTTTTTTCTCTGTGAAATTGTTGCAATTTTTAAAATTTCCCTTTTTATTATATTTTTAAATTTTAATTATTTATTATATACAGTAAAAAAAAAAACCAAAATCCTATAAATGAATTATTTTTATTATTAAAATTAAAACTTTTAAAAAGTTGCAAGCAGGTAGCTAAGTACAAAAATTTTAATTTTTTTTGACAACTTTTGTATTTCTTTTACTAGGATATTTTTCCTCTGTGTATGCGTAATATTTTTTGCTTACTTTACGTTTTTCTTTTTTTGCTTGTTTGTATTAAATTAGGGAAAAAAAAGGGGAATTATAAAAATTTTTCACTTCTAAATTCTAAAAAAAATTTAATAAAAATATTTAAAAGAAAACCAAATTACTTTTTGAAATTTATAAAACGGGGTTTGTGTGTGTGAAATGTAAAAATTTTCCTTGTAATTTTTTTACACTAAATAAAAAAAATAAATCCTCTTTTTTTGGTTATAATTTTCTTAAAAAAATTTTTTTTATAAACTCTTAAATACTTTTTTTTATCCGCTACTATTTGTCCGATACCGTTGACGTAGGCTTTTCAATTGTAACTGATTTTTTAAAAATTTTCTTTAGATTAGACAACTTTTTTTTTCCTTCTGTTTTCGTTCGTTTTAAAGCGAATCGCAAATTTTTTTTACATACATATATACAAATGTATGAATTTTAATAATATGCAGATATATATACAGACTCATATATTTAGCTGTAAGAAAGAAAGAATAAAAAAATGCTGTTGTCAAAATGAATATGTGAAATTTTATAACGAAAAAAACGAACGAAATAATGTAAAATGAAACGAAAAGAAGAAGAAAGAGAAGGAAAAAATTATAATTGAAAAACTGCTATGCTAGTTTCTTTGCTGCTCATTAAAACTTTTGTTGTTTTTTTAGTGTTGGTGGTGTTGGTTCTGCAAATCTGCAAAAAATGAGAAGAAAATTAAAGTTAAAGAAAACTAGTAAAAAAATTTTTTTAACGCTAAGAAATGAGATAAATGGAAATTTCAAAAAACAAAATAAAGTAAAGAGTGAAAATATTTTGGCATGGAATTTTTATTGAGTAGTGTTGTGAGATTGTTATTGCTGCAAATTATTTTTTTTTCTTTTGAATTAGTGAGACTTAACTTGAGAGATAACCGAACGAAATTTATTTATTAAGATTTTTGCAGATTTCGTATTAAAAATAATAAAGAGAAAAAATCGAATTACCTACTATGAGTTCGCTAATACAATTTATTTCAGATTGTATGATTTGCATATGGTTAATATTGTGATTTCATACTCTTTTGCAGAAATTTTTGTATGACATTGATAATTATTGATATTCTGATAGTTTCATTTCATACAAATATGAATAACTCTAGTGTTACACGAGCTATTATAATGTTATGAAAAATTGCATACGTGTATTATATTGGTATTATTCATTGACATTTTTTATAAAATATTTTATACGAAAAATTGAATTTGTATTTGGATCGAATATCTACAATTGCATGCAGTTAAATTCTTGTATTACCCATCTAGTGTGCTATCTATTGGGACCAGAAGATTTCTGTCTGCAATTAATTACGTATCATAAAGAAATTTATGAATGATACGTGCTTTTTTTTTTCTTTTCTGTGCCATATAAAAACTTGTTGTTGTTTTTCTTTTCAGATGTTATAAAATTAATGAATGCTACACACTATGAAGTGAAATACTTTTTCTATATTGCTTGATCACTTTCACAACTATCTTTCGATAGTTAGATAACATTTTCGTAAAAATTATCATTTTGGTTAACAATTTCATTTTGAGTTGACTCACTGATAAAAGATAAGATAAGCGTAAGTAAGTTTCACATAAATGTTAAAAAAAGATTATTTTTTTATAACTTTTAAATAAAATATTGAATTTTATTGTTTTACTTAGAAAAATAATATTTTTAAATGAATTACATATAATTTGCACTTTAATGTAGCATAAACATAAGAATAATTATTATTTAGTACATGTAAGCGCACACGAAATTTATAAAAAAGTTGGCAAACCACTTGACTACAAAATTATGCTGATAGTATTTTAATATATAGGCAATTCAGCAATTATAACTTACCAGCTGAATTGTGTAGTAACATCATTTTATTGCATTTTTCAAACTAGGGATTAACTAGGGAATATTTCTTTCTGAAAATTAGCTAATTTTGAAAACTTAAAAATAAATATCATAATTCGGAATTTGATAACAAATTTCCTTCAAATTTTTAAATTGAAATCCTATATAGACGTTAATAATATTCATTAAGTTAATTATCTTTAAAATAATTTATTATAAAGTCATAATTATGATTAGTTTCTGATATTTCTTGTAATTAATTACTTAAATTTTCATACATAAATACTTAAGCTTATGCATAAGATAGCTGGTGAAAACTATTTACATACACTTCAAGGTACATACATACATACTTGCGTATTTACGTTTGTACTTTGTAAATATAATAAGTTGTAATGATGCCCTAATTGTATTTCATATTTCAAATCTAATAAAACATAAATGTTATATAGGTCGTGTACGATTATATAACACTAAATTTATAATAATATATATATGCATATGTATGCGCGTATGTATATAAGTACATATTTATGCAATACGTAATCTTTTCTTTTATGTATAATTTATTAAATTTTGAATAGAAAAATGAGACATGCATAAATAATAATTTTTTCTTATTGTACCCACAAGCATTTTTGAGAAATAACAATTCAAAGTTAAGAGAGGATAAAGACTTAAGCTCAACCTTATGGAAGAAATAAGAAATAGGAAAACTCTTCTAAAATGTCAAAAATCTGACATCCAATGTTGAGTTTTGATTTTACTATCAATTGTCTTAGCAGATATATGGGCATTTTATTTTATAAAGTAAGTGTTCACACCTTCACATAAATAAGAGACATTTTTGTTACAAAAATTTGTAATTTACTTAAAAATTCAGTAAGACTTGTTCTGTCAACTTCACATATTTAAAATGGTTTTTATTTTATATACAAGAGAATTTGAATGAATGAAATACTAAATTCAGCAATTGAATTCATATTGCTGAATAAAATAAATTAATAAAATCTTTACATTTCTGATCATGGAAATAAGAAATTGCTTTTATTACCCCACAATAAGTAGTTATTTAATCTATGTAATACAAGGAAATTTGCATGTATACATACAGGGTTGTACAAATATAATAACTTTAATATTTTTACGAATAAGTACATAATTTTATATCTATGTACGTATTTTACATGTAATAAAATGTGTAACAAGAAAATTCAATAAATTTTCCCTTGGGGTTAATATTGAAAAATTAAATTTTTAAATTATCCCCTATAATAATATTGTGTTAATAGGTACATACATATATTATGTATGTATGTTTGTATTAATGTAAGTGAGGACAATGCGAATGGTGCGAATAATATGTAAATATAAATGGATTTTGTATGTATGCCAGTATATGTTTTCTTGAAACAATGTAATATGTATGCAGTAAAAGAGAAAAAAAATTAACAAAAGTAAAATAATAAAAACTGCAAAAAAAAGAAAAGAAAAATTAGTCAGACAGGCCAGACTGAACATTCTGTTCTATAATAATGTCTTCTATAAAGAAAATACAAAAGAAAATTCTTTATTTTTTGTATTCTTACATACATAAACCTACTGTACATACATCTATGCATACATAAGCTTTATTTATGTACCTACCTATTTATTTCTGTCTATTTACTCGTATTATTTGTTATACACAAACACACCATATTTATTACATTATCAGCATTTCATATTATTTTCATTTCACTCTCTCTCTTACTCTCTTCTTCTCCTTCTCTATCTTTATCGTTTTTATTGAAAAGCTTTAAAAGTTTTCCATGTTATTTTGTGTATGAAAATGAAAATTGGAAAACTTACAATATAACATTTAGGCATATAATATATGTATAAGAAATATATATGTTACTTATACCAAAAATCATATTACCTATGCTCATTGAACAGAGTGATAAATGTCTTATGCATACAATAAAGCATAATTTATAAAATTTTCTTGTACTTACACACCAATCCTATATACATTTATTGTATTTACCTGAATTTAAGTTGAATATATTAATCTACATGAAAGCTTTTATAATTATTATATACTTATGCTTGTATGTAGTAGATAAATTTTTAGCAAAATATGGGATTTTTTTTATATGGGATAGAAAATGGCAAAAAATAAAGGAAAAATCAGCCAAGGTTTAAATATAAAGGAAAAATATCAAAAAATTTCACTACATACATACATACAAAGAGTAAATAATAAAAATGCATAGAAATTTGGCATACACACATACATAAATAATGTATTTTATATCTATCCCATACATAAATCTATATATTATATATTTATATAATATAAAAGCATAAAATATTACAGAAAGTACACTAATTATAAAAATTATTTATGCTATTATAGAAAGTGCCACGTCAAATTAACTTACTGAGGCAACTCCGAATTTACTATTAAAAGAGAACGACATTTTATTAGGAAAGAGAGCGTGTGAGTAAATAACAGGTTTCAACATTGTAGATCAGTATAAATCGGCGAATTCTAACAAATAGGGGCTTACGCAGCCAATGTATTAAAACGACCAGCTACATATATATAGCTTTATTTTTCTCTAGTAAGAGAACGAAAGCCTTAGACTCTTTTCACGTCGACCCGTATGATCTTTTGTGATTCCCATCCTCTTTTGCATTAGCACTATATCTAGGTCCATGACAATTTGCAGTATATGGACGCCAGTGAGAGTCAAGTCAAGGTCCAGTGAGGGCACCCACTAAAATTATTTTTTTTTCTAGTGCAAACAATTTCGGAAGTCACTGTATTTTAATAATATGTTAGTACAATAATTGTGTATTTGTACACAAATTTATTATTAAATACAGGCTTGTAAATATAGAAAATGTTATAGCCTATATGCAAGATATATATATGTACTTATATATTTTGCCTATATACAATAAATATATGTACATACGTACATAATATATAAGAGCATAACAGAAAAATGAATAACAGGAAAAAATGAAAATTTATCATCATTTTGTCGCTCCCGATTCTTGTATAAACTCATGCATATATATTATATACATATATATGTATGCATGTATATATTTAAAAAGCTAAAAAATAATGTTTGTAGAAAATATGAAAATTTTTGTTTTTTTGTATTTTTTTTAAGGTTTTTCCTATACAGATAGAAAAGTTGACGCATTGCAGGGTGCGTGAAGAGCAATTTTCGCGCAAGCTCTTTTTTTATTGTTATTATTGTTGTTTTTAATATTTATATATGTATGTAATTATGTAAATATAATATATAAAATTATATATAATAGTAACATTAATACATACATATACATATATTTTTTTTTCTTTTTATAATATTTTTGCTGAAAAAATTTTGTGAGAGAGAGAGTTTTGTTTTATTATTATTATTATTATAATTTTTGTTTTTTATTGCATATTCGTCGCCATA